ACAGCGACAATGTTTCAAAATTAGGAAGGGAAGCAGTGATTATTTGATTATATAGACGCTTCGCCCCTGGGTATACATGCCTAGCCTAGGCCTACTAAAATTAATATATTTTAGCCCATAGAGAGTATTTAATTAATAAACGTAGCATATCTAGATCTAGAAACTAGGATCTAGATCTAGATTTAGAAATTTAAATTCTAGAATCTAGATATATATATAGATCTAGCTAGATCTAGATTCTAGTTCTAGAATCTAGGTCTAGATTTTGTTGTGCACCCAGCCAAGAGTGCAGTTCGGAAAGTAGATCTATAATCTAGATCTAATCTAGATTCTAGATCTAGGCCCCTAGTGGTTGACGAATGACGGAAGGGCGACTCTTGACTAGGCCTAGCTACTTGCCTGTGTGGAATAATGTACATCACACAACTCTTCTGTTATAACTGTTAGGTACGTATCGGGATTTAGACAGTACCTTTCTTCTACTCAGTAGTTACTTTTCGGTTACAATGTACTAGAACTAGAAGACTATAATAAAACCAAAGAGCCTTTTCAGACGTGCGTTTCTTCACTCTCTCTATATCTGTTTGTACCCACAAACCGAACAATATTACAGCCTGTGAATTGGCGGAGACACACTAGATCTATCATGCAACTTAATTCATACTATCATATCAACAGTAGATATAGATCTAGAAATCTAGATCTACTTAAGCTTCTGTGCTTGTTTCAATGGCTTCTTTTTCGGTGCACCTGTACAATTATATGGTCCCGTTTAATGTTAACATGACGGCCATTATTGTCATGAGGCAGTGAATCTAGAATCTAGTCTCTAGATCTAGATTTCTAGATACTTGTATCTAGATCTAGATTCTAGATCTAGATTCTAGATCTAGATTTCTAGATACATGTATCTAGATCTAGATTCCAGATCTAGATATCTAGATTCTATAGATAGCCAATATAATCTATTTCTAGGTCTAGATAGCTAGATCTAGATATCTAGATTAGATCTAGATCTATAATTTTAATTCAGTTTAGATATGGAATCTATTTTAGATATAGATTCTATGTATCTATATACATGTATCTATAATCTAGGCCTAGATCTAGATCTAAATAAGAAACACCGGGCACTTAGGCCTTGTGTGATTTAGTGCAAACGGGAGCACTATTGTACAGGAGTGCTATTGTTTCTTAACTTCAGTTCATGATAATTGATTCTGACATTGGGGAACAGCTCGCTGTGTAGGCCTAGTACTAGTTATAGATTATAGTGACCACTAAGAAAAGAATTTGTTGAGTTTTTCTTCCTCTCAATGTTATGCTTTTCTCTAATTAATAGTAGGCCTAATTTATTGAAGGGTTCTCATACTCAGAGTCCTAGAGTCTAGTATTGTTCTTTTTACTGCTGTTCATTCTTTGATATGATACAACTAATAATTATAACCTAAGCATTCCAGAACCATGGATTTGATAGCTTAGGCTACCCCATTTAGCCTTTCCAGTGACATAGAGTCTCCATTCTACATGATGTGTATCACTTTGTTTTATTTTGATTTCCAAATGAAATTCAATTTTTGTTTTAAAACGTAGGCTGTAGTATAAGTATAGGCGCCTATATATTACTTAGGGCCTACCTTGTTAACAAACACAATGTGATCTGGTTTCGCTTCTATTATCCAGTATATATACACATACTTTTCACAAAGTCTATAGCTTATTCTTGGCTAGATAAATGAACAAAAAATTTTTTAAAGAAAAATTTACTTGTGAAAATGATGTTTGAGATTGAGGAATTTCCATGTTGTAAAAGAGCATGAGTCTTTCTAAGTCCTTTTGTGGTGGTTTGTTTCTTTCTAGAGTACGGGGATTGGGAATACAGAGGAATATCCCTTCTAAGCCGTGTGGATATAACGTTTGCCAAGATACTGGAAATGAGAATGAGACCAATTGTAGAGACTCAACTCAATGAATCCCAGTTTGGCTTCAGAAAAGGCAAGGGCTGTACTGACGGTTTTTTGCATTCGGGCAGTTGTGTGAAACTGCAATTGGACATGACAATACCTCAATATCATCTTCGTGGACCAAGAAAAGGCGTTCGACAGGGTAAATAGATGTCAACTTTGGGAAGTCTTAGAGGTTTTAGTAGCGGTTTTACGGCACCCGCAACTGCATAAGGTCACATGAGCGCCAAGGGGTGGATGTTAATAGAGAAGTCCTTACAGGGAATCAGACTTACTCTGGCTCACCTCTCTAGCTTCAACAGCACAAAGTCTGCTTAGACAATCAAGTCACCCCGGAAACAGCGGGTTGCAAGAGTGTGACAAGTGACAAACATACAGAAGAAGTAGAGGAAAATGACGATAGTAACGATTAGGAAAGAAAAAGGCGCAATTCCCTGTTGTAGTTCAGGCACATTTATGAGCATGCCATTGTTCGATCAGCCCATTTACAATTCTACTGTGCATTAGAACGTCCCCTGATTTGGAATGGCATAAAGACACTTCAGTCAGTGGCATCGCCCCGGGGGGGGGGGGGGGGGGGGTAGTCTTAGAGTAATATGGTGTTAAAGGACAATTGCTCAAGAACATCATGGCACTTTATAAAAACAGCTTGTGGGCCGAAAAGTCAACAGAAGGACTATTGGACTGTTTCCCCATCACGTCTGGGGTGTTCTCTCTCCGCTTCTCTTCATCACTTACATGGATAAGATCACGAAAGCAGCAAATGACAACATCAATGAACTGAGCGAGCTTGTATTTGCTGATGACCAGAGTACATCAAATACAGATGAAGAGGAATCACAAAAAACATACCACAAAATTAATTAATGAGGAATGTAAACACCTAAACATGAAAATCTTCATTTAAAAAACAGAAGTTATGAAGGCAAGAAAAAACCCAGGGAAACTCAACATCCTTGTTGACGGAACACAACTCCAACAACAAGTAGAGGAATTTAAATATTTGGGAAGCATCTTCTCACTAGATGGGCGTATGGACAAAGAAAAAGAACTATGAAGGCAAATGCAGAGACCCACCACTGGTAGTACCAGCTAGCACCCCTTCTCAGTCACAAGAACATCCCAACTGAAGTGACATCCCCAGCTCATCAATAGAATCTTCATACCAACATTAACATACCAGTGCCAAACATGGTCTCTAAACAAGGCATGAGAAAGGAAAATCAATGCACGCGAAATTAGGTGTCTCCGCAAAACCACAACGTCACCAGAGGAGACCGCATGAGGAATGAGACCATACGTCTACAAGTAGTAAATTTATTAGAGCGTCAAAGAGTCAAATGGTTCAGACATCTAACCAGAATACCCCAGAAACAACTAGCGGCTACAGCTTACCACACCCGCGAATCCGGCTTTAAATTAAGAGGAAGACCAAGAAAGACCTGACTGGATGGGGTTAAAAAGGCCCTGGAACAATAAAAGTAATTAGCATATCTATCACAGACGCCGAAACCTGCACCTCCCCTCGACATCCTAAGGATACCAGAGGAAGGAAAAAGTAAAGTAAAGTAAGAACTGAGGAGCAAAAGTGCTCACTTTGTTGCAACTGGCATCTTTCTTCAGGGTTGTTTCATCCCACAATCCAGTACATAGCATTTTTCGTTCTTGTTCATACGACAGAAAAGAAAGAAAATCTGGATCGGTACTAACAATAGACCTAAGAAACTTTATCAAACAAATAATTGCATAAGATACTTTAATAGGCGTCCCAATTTAATTTTTGATTGGGTTAACAACACTAGTCGGGACTCTTCATACTAGATCTAGGCCCTAGGCTTACGCAATGAAAGGCTTTGGGCAGGGGAAAAAAGGAGGGAGGGGGAGCTCATTGAAAAGGAAATACTTGGGTCTAAAAAGTCTCGTTTTCTTTATACTATCGAATGAACTAGGCACAATGTGAGGTCAGTGATTATAAAACATACCAAAATTGATTAACTTTTTGAACTAAAGTTTAAACATCTCTTGGCGATGTATTTCCCTGTCTCGTACATTTCAAACAATGAAGAGAGGGAGCCAAAAGCTGAATGCAAAAATGTGTGACGTCACGACTCTGCGCGATGTCGCGGTGGAAGGGTTCAGCTAGGTTTTCGCGGATTTGGTTGATAAAAGGGTAAGACTACACTAGCCAAGGTAAGACTTCTACGATAACCATTTAAACGTTTTCTGGAAGAACAAAGAATGGTTTACCAACAAGGGTAGTTTGAAAAAAATATGACGAGAAAATTTATCAAAAATCAATGGTTAAAAATTGTCTATTTTTCAACTTCAAATATTTCGAGATTCATTAGTCGCACATCGACCTGGAAAGAAGCGTTTTGAAGGCCATCCACAGGTCTTTAAAGACATGTATCGGACTTGAATGTTGGTCCCCTAAATTAAACAAAAATATGGGCAGTTTGAACCCACTGTCGCGATGAGACGTCATGTCCGGAAACAAAACCCTATGGGACTTTCCGAAGCCAAATGACGCCATAGTGAGCGCGTTCACTGAAGTGCCTAGTGTAACTTTGACTCAGCCACGTAGTGTACACACTTTTTATGCCCCAAATTTAACCCGGAAGTCCATTCGGAGGATTTGACCTTTTCACTTGACCAAAGTGTGCCAAAATGGTAGCCTAGCTTTTGCCCCTCCATGAAGGAAAAATCTGGCCCTCATTCAAACCATTGGGATTGAGCAAAATTGTGCGTATTGTGCTTTGTTCTTTACAATATTCATTATGGTTATGATTTATAAGTTGTACACTGAGACAAAACCAACCGTACTAAATGAGAAAGGTGCACCATTATGAAAGTGGAACGAACTCAGTTGCC